GTTTGGTCCACAAATACACAGTCAGTCCACTTTGCAATATATTCTGTGAAGCGCTTTGAGACAGCTCAACGACATGATAAGACGCTAGATCAAATGCAAGGATTATTATTATTATTATTAATATTGGTAGGAAAAGACGGCAGCTAATTTGCACACAGCATCATTACCCCCAACTTGGTGAGTTTTATCTGAAGGATTGGTGCAAGAGAAACTCCCTTAGATTTTCAAATAACGTCCTCTATCGGGAACTTGGTTTAACATCTTGTCTGAACGACAGCACCTCCAACAATGCAGCGCTCCCCACTTCCCCCCCCATTATTGCACTGGAGGGTCAGCCTAGGCTACGAGCTCAAATTCCCAACGTGGGGCTCGAAACGTGGCAGCCAGTTTGTGCCGCAATGTCCTGCAAACAGCCATGGAGTGAGTGCCATAGATCTTTAACATCCACCTGAAGTTTAAGGTCACATCCGAAGGACGGCACCTTCAACAATGTCACAGTCCCAACCCTGCATCAGAGCATCGACTTAGACCATGTGATTACAAGTCCCAACGTGGGGGCTTGAACCCACAATCTTCTGACTCGAGAAGGCGAGAGCGCACAAAGAGGGAAGAGACAGTTGAAACGACAGGGCGTAGAGGGTCAATGTACTAACAGGAGTTATGGGTCACACTGAGGCATCGGTGCTCAGGGCAATCCGGGCAGAACGGTGCTTAAGATATTTGCTTCAGACAGCTGTGACCTCTGGTACGCAGAACTAAAAAGGAACATCTGCATGCAGGATGATTTCCGCATTAACCTGTCTCGTCCTTCATAAATGAAAGCCCTCTTTATATTTGCTCCATAAATCTGACACCTAGCACAGCAGTAAAAAATGTGACAGCTTTGTGCATCACATTATGAAAGCCCAGCCTACAAAGTACACTCGGAAAACGAATACAGCCGTAAAATGCTCACGTCTTTGAAGTCCACGGTGTCAAATATTGCCCTACTCACACGACTTCTCACACAGATAAAGAAGCAGAGGTGTTCAACCCGACTGGGTCAGACCCCGAGTGGGAAGCAACATCTCTTCAAGATGTGTACACATCATTTTTGTTAACACAGGACATTAACAGCAGGTCGCTAACAAAAGGCGTCGTAAATCTTTCATTAAAGTGCCAGAGTCTCTCTAGCGCTGGCTTTAATATAAGCAGCTCAAGAATTCAACCTCGTCGAATTCTTACCAGTTGTGTTAACGTGCGCTTGGCTCGTTGGAATATTCAGACCTAAAGCAATCTTTACTTATTAACAACCTCAATTACTACCTTTTGTTTTCCTTACGCCACGTTTGGGAGGATGTCTCAAAGCGCTTCATGGGAATTTTACTGGGTTGGTGTTTCGCAGGCGAATGCGGCAGCTGATGTTAACGTATGTTAACGTCCCGCGGATATTTATGAAGTGAGTGACTGATTTTATCTCCCTTCTCTTTTCGAGCAGGGCCATGAGATCGTTTAACATTCACCTGAACAGGAAGAGAGGACTTCGGTTTGATCCCCCTCCGACCCTACCCCTCACACTGCCCCCCCAACCCCCCCCCCCCCCCCAGCGTTGCATTGGAGCTTCAGCCTAGACAATGTGAGTTCAAGGAGGGGCTGACACTGTCTTCGTGGGCAAACTTTGCAAGCAAAATGAAAAGGGAATCATCTCTCGCCATCTGGATGCTTTGTTAGATAGAAAATCAGTCGACAACTGCAATGAAATCCTTTTTGTTTTGTTTGGCTGCTCTTTAAGGATACTTTTGTGTAAGTACCAAGTCCTGCTGAGGCCAGCAACTGGCTTGGATCGAGTCCAAGGAGGCAGGAGGGGGCAGGATTGACACGGGCACATCTGGAAAGAGAAGTTGACTGAAACTCTTGGGTTAAGAAAACCTGATGTTATTTAATCTCTGTCGAGAACTTTTAACTTCCCCCACCCCGAGTCAGCTCTCGCTGAAGACATCATCAGCATTCACTGCTGAGCAGAAGACAAAACCCTCATAAATCGCGACGTAGATAAAGTGCGAACGCAAATCCCGTTCCCTCCTCGAAAGGTTTCCCCTTTGCAGAATCCTTGCCAATGGGAGTTCGGGTGACGGAACTTGTTCTTGTTAATACCAATAATAATAATCCTTGTGTTTGATATAGCAGTTCATCCCGTCGCTGAGCATCTCGAAGCTCTCCGCAACAACAACAACATTATATTTCACAGGATATACTGTAAAAGTGTAAATGTGGGTGGGGGGGAAAAAAAAGGTTTATAGGAACATAGGAACAGGAGGAGGCTATTCAGCCCCCTCGAGCCTGTTCCGCCCTTCTATTCGATCACGGCTGTTTCTGTACCTCAACTCCAATGACTGTCCCACCCGCAAATGTTATTTGATAACATTATTACTGTTTAATAATGTTAAAGGGGAAGTGATGAAGTTACGTTTCAACGTCACAAAGGATTGAAAAGTTACGTCAGCGAACTTTCACCAGTGACCCAGCGCGGCGCCTTTAAGAAGATGGTTCCCCCATTCGCACCACATCTCCACCACCCCCACCCCCCCTCACTACGGAACGGACAGGCAAAATCCCTGCTCCTGGGACTGGGAACCAAAGATTCTTAAGCTGAGCAAGAGGTCTCTGGGGTTTTCCATCGCTCGGATTTCATGCCTTATTTCCAATGGTATTTGTCCACAAGGAAGCAATAGAAACGAATATTAATCCCGTCAAATAATAAACAGCTGAAGCTCTTTTGTGAGGAGACATTGTTAGCGGAACAAGAACTGACTGCACCTCACATCCTGAACTTCAAAGGAACTCCCCAGATCATGTTGCTTATTTTCTAAAATCACGAACCGTACTTTATTTAGGATCGCTCTTGGGTCTCGGGCAAGAAAGGTTTTGAATTAAAAGCCTATTCTGTTGTCTGCGTTGCCACAGTGCAATTCTACCATTGTGGGAATATTTGATCCCCTCCACATGAATCGGCCACAGATTCAGGTAATAATAATAATAATAATAATGAAAATCCTTGCATTGATATCGTGGAGTAAGGAAATTTGCCCAAGGTTTCGCTCTGCCGGAAATCGAACCCAGGTTTCTCGCTTGAGAGGCGAGTGCTCTAACCACTGAGCTACAGGACTCCACAATCCCACAGATAGCCATAGAGCGAGTGACCGATGTCGATTGGGTGATTGTCGGCCAGGACATCGGGAGAGAGAAACTCCCTTCTCTTTTCGAATAGCGCAGCGGGATGTTTAACATCCGCCAGAGCAGGTCGACAGGACTTTGTATTGACCAAGGGAAATAGATAGGTACTTGAAAAGGAAACATCTGCAAGGATATGGGGAAAGAGTGAGGGAGTGGGACTATTTGGGATAAGTGCTTGGGAGTGGGGCTAGTTGAGGAACGAGCGGGGGAATAGGGACTCACTGGATAGCTCTTCCAAAGAGCCGGCACAGGCCTTCTTCTGTGCTGTAATATCCTATGATTCTAGAAGACGTGAAATGCGCTACATCAAATGCAAGGATTGTTACTATGATTCCACGATCTCGTCCAGTTGAACATCGGTTAATAGCTGTGCTTAAACAGTAAGCGATGATAAAATCCACAGAGGTGGGAGGATTCACTACAGCAACAGGATAATAAGAATAAGAATCCTTGCATTTGATACGGCGCCTTATCGCGTCGCGGAGACGTCTCAAAGCGCTTCAGGGATGTACCGCAAAGTGATTTGACTTTATATTTTGTGGGCGAAACGTTGGGATCAACGAGCTGAAATTACAGCCCGCTCTGGGTTCACGCCAGCCCTCTCTCTCTCTCTTTCTCTCCCTCTCTCTCTCTGTGTTGCTGTTATCAATAACTCGTCTGAACCAGGATTCTAAATGGCATCACCAGGAATTTTAAAGAGTTTGCGAAAGCCTTTCATACAATTCCAACTATTTTTGCCCAGGTTTATTGAGGGCTGGCCTGCCTTTAAGAGTACCTTTGATTTCTTTAAAACAGATGAGGTTCAAAATTCAGCCTTGTGAAGCCAGAAGAGGCAGATGATTTTTTTTTGCAACACCGGCTGCTACTATTTTATTGGAGAATAACAGAGGCTTTGGATTGTGATCAACTCGTTGACAGTACACTAAAGAGTTCCGTCACTGTCACGGCAGGGAGCATGTTAAGAGTCCTTAACACTCATTTTTCGTTCATTTTCTATCCATAAGTTATCACTTGACTCAACTAACCAACATTTTGGTTGCTTTTCTCACACTTTGATCGTTAACGCTGTCTGGCTGTCTGCCAGGCCCTCAGTAATCGTAACCCGCGAACAGTCTCATGGTACAGTCAACCTTTCGTGCTGTGCTCAGATCACTAACACAGCACAGACCACAGACTGAAACTGGGATAATTTTTATTGGTTCGGTACCACACCATATGGGCCGTGTATCCACGCAGCCAGCGGAGGGCACATTTAAGAATAATCCTTGCGTCTGATAGAAGCTCCTGTTGTTAATGCGGCCCAATGGTAAGTTCTGTCAGCCGTATTGTGTGTGTCCCTCACAGTCTGCCTCAGTCTGTGTGGGAGTGTGGGAGTGAAGCAGAGGGAGTGTGTTGTTTGTGGGCAAATGCAGCAGACATTTTCACACACACAGCAAGATCCCACATCTGCAACGTTAAAGGGAACTAATATCCTTCTCTTTTTGAGCGCCACACGGAATCTTTAACATCAGTTGGAACCTCAGCTTAATATCTCATCCGAAGCTCAGCACTTCCGACAATGCATTTCCTTTCCCCCTCCACCCCACCAGCCCCCACCCACCGCCCCCCCACCCTCCACCCCCCACCCCGAGCACTGCACTGGAGCCTAGACTGTGAGCACATTGGGGTTTTGAACCCGCGACCTTCTGACTCGAGAGGCCAGAGCGTTTACCGACAGAGCTTGGCAAGTACCTCGATAAGATCCATTCCCACCCAAAACGTTCCCTTTAATCAAAGAAAAAACTTACTTCACAGTCAGATGAAGAAGAATCTTTGAAACCATCACTATAGCGGTTAGAGTTAGCAAGCCAGCCAAGGCATAGATGGTCCACACTGTAAAGGAACACATTGGTAGCATTTAGAAACCAAAACAACTAAACTGTATTGTATTGTTACTGCGTAGAAGGGAGTTGGCACTAACCTGGCATATTGGGGTTGGACTGACTGGGGCTTGCTGTTATGTAGAGGATCTTTGATGACCTTGCACCAATAGTGCCCGGTCCTACCCTCTCTGTTATTGTGTCCAATGTATTCGGACTGTTCTTGCCCTCTGAAGCGAGCAAGTGTTGGTTATCTTTAACAGCTGTGAAGAGGATCACAATACAAAGGCCAGTGAATCCAACAAATAATAACCTTTACGTTTCAATGCCTGTCCGTCCTTCGGAGGAGACGTTAAACCGACGTCCCGCCTGCCTGCTCAGGCGGACGTCAAAGATCCCTCCACGCTATTCGAAAAGAGAAGGGAGTTTCTCTCTCTCTCTCCCGGCGTCCTGGCCGGCAATTCTCTAAATAAAATTGGTCGCTCACTCCTTGGCTGTTTGTGGGACATTGCTGTGCAATTCGCTGGTACGTTTCATCCACAGCAAGTCCCCATTGCGTTATGTCCTGTGAAGCGCCTTGAGACATCTCAACGACATGATAAGGCGCTATATCAAATGTGAGGATTGTTATGATTATTATACGCTCTTTCTAAATATATTAATGATGGCTTGTAACAAACTACTGAAAAGCAGATGTTATTGCATTGGCGCATAGATTATAATGCATTTAACGTCCACCTGAACAGGCAGACGAGACCTCGGTTTAATGTCTCTTCTCTGATGGATGATACCTCTGATCTCTGAGGCACTTCTATGGTATCAGCCTAAATTATGAGCTCAAAACCTCAAGAGAGAGCTATGACTTGGCTCACCCTGACAATGGTGCGTTTTATGAGCCGGTAGGCACTCTCGCAGCTGAGTCAGAAGGTTGTGGGTTCAAGCCCCTACGTCAAGGCTTTGAACTCATATAAGTCTAGGCTGACACTCCACTGTGGTTCTGAGGAGGGAGTCCTGGAGGCGCCGTCCTCCGGACGGGACATTAAACCGTTAAACATTAAACCGATGAACGTTAAAGAGATGCCGCGGCAACTCTCGAAAAAACAGAGAAGGGAGTTTCTCTCTTCCGGTGTCCCGACCGACAACCCCTCCAATAAAAACCCACTTCGCAGCTGCCCACGGGCGCACAAATTGGCAGCTGCGTTCGCCTACAAAATACGCAGCCTCCGCCACGCTCTTCACAGTGCATCCCGTGAGGTGCTCTGGGACGCCCGCCCGACGGGAGAGGCGCCGTATGAAACGCAACAATTATTGCGGGGTTCGGCGCATCAGATAAGACGGGGTCTCCTATAAAAGTCTGCTCCCCGTACAATGTCTGCTCTCGCACTAACCTCTACGCAGCCGTTCAGAGGACTAACAAAGGATGACTGAAAAGCAGCAGCGAGCAGGCATTGCAGATTTTCTCAGTGGAAACATATTTTGCCTCAAGCGTTGAGAGCCCAACAGTTTGCTTAGCTTTAAACTGATTTCCGACTACACAGCTGGAACTGGTTCAGGTCGCTTTGGTTTAGAACAGCTGTATCCAAATATCATCTGGAATACGCTGGTTTATTTTAGATTTTAGACTCAGTGGGGGTGGGGGGGTAATGTGTCTGCCAAGTTCAGCCCCAATCCCGGGTTTAGATCCTCAATGATTTTTTCTGCAACTCAAGAGGGATTGGGAATTCCGGATATCATACGCGAGGAATATTATTATCGATGCGTGTGTGTTTTTTTCTCCATTTAGTAAATCAGGACTCCGTGACTTTCCAAATGGGATAAAAAAAACACACACACAACAATAATAATAGTCCTTGTGTATGATATAATGCACATCACGACGAAACTTATTATGGGGGGGGGTGTGTGGGGGAGGGGGTGTAATAAAAAAATGTTTTAAAACAAATTTGGTCACTTCACTCCATCCCAGTGCTGTTGGTGGGACGCCGCTGTGCATAATCGGGAGCCATGTTTCGCCCTACGAAACGCACAGTCAATTCACTTTACATTATATTCTGTGAAGCGCTTTGAGACGTCTCAACGGCGCGATGCAAGGATTATTATTAGGATTATTATTATTATTTATTTTTGCTGAAACGAAGATGGCGGAGGAGCTGGCTCACCTTTGTACAAGACCGCAAACCCGTCTGCCCGGTTGGCCCCGTCAGAGTAAAAGTAGAGGATAACGAAGCTGGCCGACACGTTCACGCTGTCATAGGGTCGGTTCCTGCCATCGAACCTGGCCAGGACCTCGTTGCTGTATCCGTCCAGGAACTCCACCATGTCGCTGGCATCCCGAATGTCAAACAGCGCGAAATGGAACTGTATCATCGAGGCTCCCGACACCTGGATGGTCCAATAGCAGACTCTGCCGTTGGCGTAGTTGTCGGGGAAGTCGGGGGAGTAAATGATCCCGATGTCCGCGGAGTAATTCCCACCGCAAGAGCCGATCAGTGCTGCGACGAGAGAGAGAGAGAGAGAGAGAGAGGGAGAGAGGGAGGGAGAAGTGGATACGTGTCAATTCACTTTACAGTATATTCTGTGAAGCGCTTTGAGACGTCTCAACGACTTGTACCGTCTAATGACACGATCGCAATAGGTTCGGTCCCATTTGATCTCATCCTTCCAGACCCCACCCACCTACCCACCCCAACCATCCTCCAGCTGTAACCTCAAACCGTTTCTTCAATACGGCCAAAATCCCAGCCTCAACTACACTTCTTCTTGGGAGCCACGAACCAATGTGAAGAAATACTTCCTGGTTCCTGCCCTGAAATCGCCAGTGCTCCTTTGTTCTGCTGCCCCGACCCCTCTGAGAGCGCCGGCACTTACTGTCAAAGATGTTTATCCTGCCGTCTCCTCCACAGAGCTGAGTGTGATTGCCAAAGCACACTTGGTTGCATTCGGTGCTGTTCGCCTCTCCGTGCTTCCAGTAATCCGCATCGTTCCCACAAAAGCATGCGTAGCCCGATTCCATGCCGGCCAGCTTCAACACAGCAGAGGATAACAGCGTCAGCGCAAGGGAAACAAAACGGTGAGAACCATTTCACATAAGGTTGATTTAACCGTTCATTTAAGATGGAGGGGGACGAAATGCTAGGCAAGTTTCCTCACTCCACACGCCTCTGTTGACCTAGCAGTAAGTAGGAACTCAGTTATTAGTTGATTGACGGATCTCTTTGAGACGTCTCAAAGCACTCCACAGAATATATTGTAAAGCGAATTGACTGTGCATTTTGTAGGCGAAACACGGCAGCCAATGGCACACAGCAGTGCCCCAGAAACAGTCGTGGACTGAGGGATCAAATTTTTCGGGGGGGTGGTGGGTAGGATTATTACCCCCAGAAGGCAATCCGCCAATCGACTAACAACCGGGTTCCTACTTTCTGCTAGGTAAACAGAGGCGTGGGACAGGAATCAAACCCAAGTCTTTCGCTTGTGAAGGGAGTGCTCTAACCACCATGCTACGGGACTCCAAACTGGGATTAATGTAAGAAAAAGGGTAACTTGGAAAAATAGGCGGCAGCAGCACAGACACAATGAGCTGAAAGATCTTCGTCTGTCCTGAAACGTTCCAGGTGTCTATGGGCGAGGTTAAGGCAGTGAGTGTTGGCAGGCTGTTGAGCTAAGACTGAACCTGTGTGGGCAAGCCCCCTCATCTACAGGAGTCACTGGATAATGATCAGCAGCAAGACCTCTTGATGATCTTTCCCCTCCCTAGCCTGGGGTGGGTGAGGAGGCCAATTGCACTGTCTAAAGACACAATGGTATGACAATTCATGAGGCTAATAAATGGAGAGAGAGGGTAAGATTGCAAGGCTAGATGAGGACACACAGGGCTACCCATGGATCTGGTTCCAGTTACTGTGGTGTATAATTTGGAATCCGTATTACAAAGTCCTTGTTTGGGATCGCTGCACTATTTGGTAGCAAACCCTTATCTGTCCAACCCCTTAGTAATCCACAGAGGTGGTTGGACGTCTCAAAGCCCTTCACAGAATATACTGTAAAGCGGATTGACTGTGTATTTTGTGGGCAAAACGCAGCAACCAAACACGCACAGCAGAGTCCCACAAACAGTCGTGGATTGAGCGATCGAGTTCTGGGGGGAAGAGGGGGATGCTTTGGGACCTCCTTCCGATGTGAAAGGCGCTATGTAAATACGATTTGCTGGATGCAATAAATGCTGTCGATATTATCACAGCCCCCGCCGTTTTTTTAATATATTTCCTCTGGCAATATAATATAATATAACTGTTAATATAATATAACTGTTAATCTCATAGTATAACTGAGAGCTCAAGCTTTGCGCGAGGTTCTCCAGTCTCGCCGCTCGCTGAGACACTTTCTCTGTCGAGTGCTGTCTTACCTTGAAGCGCTTGCTCCTGCAGAAGTTGATGCAGGTCTGAATGGTCAGCTTATTGGATGTCTCACTGATTCCGGATAGAGGTGGAGGGTCCCCATTGTCTTTGAAACAACCCAGGTAGCCCGGCACTGAGGAAAAACACAACGGGGAGATTCGGTTAACACATAATGGATTCCCGTAGGGTAGTGGTTTAGAGCTCTTGCCTCCCAAGCGAGAGGACCCGGGTTCGATTCCCGGGCAGGGCAAAATCTTTGGCAAGTTTCCTCGCTCCACACTCCTCTGTTTACCTCGCAGTAAGCAGTCGCCTGGTTATTAGCTGATTGACGGATCGCTTTTCCAGTGGTTATAATCCCTTTTTTTTAAAAAAAAATGATAATTTGGTCACTCGATCCACGACTGTTTGTGGTTCGCTGCCTTGCGCAATTGGCTGCCGCGTTTCAACCACAAACAATACAGTCACTACACCTGACAATATATTCTGCGAAGAGATGTCTCGAAGACATGATAAGGCGCTATATTAAATGCAAGGATTATTATTATTAGAAGAGGAAATACAGCCACTTCTTGCTTTGATCTGTGTCATCTGGCTCTCAATGTCAGTTCCATCTTCCTTATAAACGCTGTGCTAAACTCCGCACCCCCTCCCAGTCCTTGTCAGGCTCCAATGGCTCCTTATTGCAGAACGGATCAATATCAACATCCTCACACTGTCTAGCAATTGCACTCCATCCTGCTCACACCCCACTCCACTACCTGCTCCTTTGGCTTAGCTGGCTCCGGCCTCCTCCACCTCCATCCCTCCACCTAGCCTTCTCTCTGCCTAACATTTCCATCGTCTATCATCCCAAACAACAACAACTTGTATTTATTAAGCACCGTGGGGTAGGGTAACATCTCAGACTGCTTCACAAGGGATGGGGTTGGACACGACACCAAGCAAACGGCCGGGAGGGTGAGGCGTCTGTAGGCGCTTTTGAAAGAGGTAGGATTTGGGGTGGGATGTAAAGACAGTAACCACGGAAAGGATAGCATTCCATGGAGCATCCCTTCACTTGCATCTGTGCTTTTCCCTGCCACCTTCACCTTCACTCTGAACCATGATATTCACCCAACCCAGGAGCCACATGACTGAACTCGGTAGAAACTCCCTTTCGAATGACATTTATTTTAGATGCACAGCCACCCGCCAGGTTGACAACCTTCCTTCATGTGTTAATTTGCAAATAAAGACCTCAAAGTCTGTCAGGGCACATGTCAGATGGGATTTGGCATTAGTTTTTGGACACAGTTCAGCCTGTGACGAATCGCAGGGCCAGACATGTATCAGAACTGTTTTCATGGATCATCAACCGGACCCAGCAGTAGCGCTCTCGTCTCTGAGGCAGAAGGTTGGGGGTTCAAGCCCCACATCGGGATGTGGAATCACATGGTCAAAGCTGACACTCCAATGCAGTGCTGGGAGTGTGTTGCATTGTCGGAGGTGTCGTCCTACGGATGAGACTTTAAACCGAGATCCGGTTTGCCAGTTCGGGTCGATGTTAAAAGATCCTGGGGCGCTATTTGAAAAGAGGAAAGAGTTTCTCTCTCCCAACAATCCCCCAAATAAAAGTGGTCGCTCTACTCCACGGCTGTTTGTGGTACACAAATTGGCTGCCATGTTTCGCCCACAAAATACACAGTCACTACACCTTACAATATATCCTGTGAAGAGCTTAGAGACGTCTCAATGAAGTGATAAGACGCTTTTGTTACTATTATTATAGATTGATAATTTGAGGCTTTGTTGTTCTTTCTCCAATTGCTCTCCATAAGTTCTCTTATCTCAGCTCCCTAACTCCCTCCCACCTTACCTCCCCGAGCATGGTCACACCATTACTGGAAAGCAAACGGATCAACACTGTGCTGAACGCAGGCATTTCTCCGATTCTCTATTTCTCTTAATAAATGTCTGACTAAACAAAGGTGCCTTTCAGAATCAGAAGCCGCGTGATTTTCAAAGGGTTGGTTATTTTCAGTAATCTCTTATCACTTTACACTTATTACCAAAATCCCCACGGATAGAAAGGCAATTAACTCAACCCAGTGGTCGCACTTAACCCCTGGATAGGATCAATGATTATATCTAAATGATTTTTTTTTGTTTATAGCAAAGATTCCCCCCTCCCTCCCACCCCACCCCCGTGAAGCACTGCCATAAATTTCACAATCACATGTCTAGTCTAATAATCCTTGGCATTTGATCACGTCATAAAACATCTCATAGAGGGGCTAGGGGGAGCTTAACCCCAACCCTCCACCCCCAAATCTATCTACAGTCATCTCTTTAAGGGGAGGTGAGAGGAGAAAACCCCAAGGAGGACCTCAGCCAGTCTTCCGAGCATCCCCAACCCATGGCACCTGCAGGTTCCTCTTGCCCTTTTGAAAATGATGGTAAATAATAATAATAATAATCCTAGCATTTGATACAATCAGGAGGGTGTCTCAAAGGGCTTTACAGGATTTCCTCTTGAATGCAATGACTATGTCATCGGGTAAGCAACATGGCACAGAGCAATGTCTGCCCCATTGACACCCATTTAGTCGTAACAGTCTTTTGATTCTTTTTGCTTATGTTGGCTCTTATACAATACCATAGTCGTTTACATTTATACAGCGCCTTTTACGTTGAGGTGGGGGGACGCCCCAGGCTCTTAATAATCCTGGCTTGGTACCCGAGCTGGGAGGGGTGGGTGGGTGGAGAGGGAAAGATGACTGAAAGCTCGGGCAAAGAGGTAGGTCTCTAGGTCTCTGTGCTGAACTATTAGGACCCAACATGGCAGCAGAGGTGCCTCGGTAACTACCCGTGAAATTGGCCTCCTACTTACTGTGGCATGTTGGTATGTCGCAATACTTCCAGTACACCCCGTCTTCGTATTCAACAATGTAGCACCAGGGTCTGACATCACCATCTGGGTTCCTGCAGATGGAACAGACCATCTTTTAGGGTTTGCAATGGTCAATCACTTTCTCTACTACTGCACCCACTCTCTCCTTCAGTAGAACCAGATGTGAGACACCAGCCATTTGAAGGCCGAATCATGTCTTTCTCAACAGCATTCCTTAAAAGGGCACTCATAAGGACACTGTCCTTATGAAACAAGACATTACAAGCTGACAAGAGAGATTTGGATGAAGAAGGTCCTTTGGCCCATTTGATCTCTCATCCTTACAAAACACCCAACCTATTGTCCTCTCATCACAGCTTCAAGCTGTATCTTAAGTATGTCCAAGTGTCCTGGCCTCAACCACCCTTCCTGATAACCCCATTCCAGGTATTAATTACACCTATGGCTGTCTGTCCTTTCAACATTAAACCTGTGCTCTCTTGTTCTGCTAGCTTCACAAATCTGAACATAAAGAACTGTTTGAACAAACTATAATAATAATAATAAACCTTGCATTTAATATAGCACATTATCACGTCGTTGAGATGTCTCAAATCACTTCACAGAATATATTGTAAAGTGGATTGACTGTGTGTTTTGTGGGCGAAACTCGACAGCCAATTGTGCACAGTGATGTCCCACAAACAGTCATGGAGGGAATGACCAAGTGAATGTCTTTTTTTGGGAGGGATTATTACCCCAGAAAAACGATCTGCCAATTGACTAACAACTTGGTTCCTACTTACTGCTAGTTAAACAGAGGCGTGTGGAGTTTCTCCCGGTGTCCCGAACAAAATTGGTCAATAATATTCACCTGAGCAGAGAGACGGGGCCTCAATTTAGCATCTCATACAAAGCACGGCATCTCCAACTGTGCAGCGTGCACCCCCACCCCCCAGTACTATATTGGAGTGTCAGCCTGGAATGTACGAGTACTGACGTGGGACTTGAACCCACAACGGACTGCTACCAACTGAGGCAGAATATTACATGTTGGATACCTCTGGAGAAGGTCCATTTGTACAAAAGTCAGCTCCAGCAGTGCCTGGATCGGCCGTGCCAAAGGGAGAGCCTGACTGATCCCTCAAATGGGGAATTAGCCAGAGACTGCCTGCCACTCACAGTCCCAGCTATGGCTTAAGGCTTTACTGGATAGGTTGCCTGGATGGACTGAAGCCAACGATTTGGCTATCATCAATCAGGATCTTGTCACTCACGCACATCTGCTGAAAAGTCGCACGTGTGGTGGATGTCAGACTAAGACGGGAACAGGCTCCGATGGTGTAACAGCCTGCTGGCTGGCAGCCGGTGTCGAGGCTGGGACATGACTAAACACGAGCGAGCTCCCAGAGGGCAGCTCATGCAAGTGGCCAGCGTTCGCTGTAAATCATAAAATCCATCCATGGGATTTGCTTCCCGCCTCTCTTGATGGCGGGATTGATGGCATTAATTAATAATTTTGATAATCTCTTTGCAGTCGAAAGAAATCATGTCGTCGAGATGTCTCAAAGCGCTTCAAAGGACATCCCTGTTTTTTAGGGGTTTACCAACTGTTGACCAACTCAGCCAGCCCGGCTCAGTTGGTAAACTCTTCAGATTAGTCTCGAAGATCCGATAAGACGCTAAATCTAATGCAAGGATTATTATAACATGGTGGGATCTTTAATTTCCACCTGAACAGGCAGGTAGGCAGGCAGGTAGGACCTTGGTTTAACGTCTCACCTGAAGGATAGCGTCTCTCAGCATCGCACTGAAGCATCAGCTCTAGACTTTGAATTCAAAATCCTGACCCATATGGGGCTTGAACCCACTCCGAGGAGAGAGTGTTACCAACTGAGCCTGGCTGACAGCTCAACAGGATGTCATATGCAGCAATGTCCTGGCCAACAACCCACACCCCCCCCCCCCCCCCCACCCCACTCATTCCATGGCTGTTTGCGGGACATTGGCGTGCGCAAACTGATTGCCGCATTTCGCCCACAAAACACACGGTCAAACCACTTTGCAGTACATCTTGTGATGCGCTTTGAGACATCTCGATGATGTAATAGGGCACTATATCAAATGCAAGGAGTATTATTATTATTATGCCTCTAAATGAGGCCTGTCTTTTTTAGAGCTAATTCAATCCCACTCCCTTTTCACTTGCTCCCCCGTGGAGAATATTTTGAGACAATGTGCTCATTTTACTGACCTCAATAAGGCCAGGGGATGACTAGACCTATTGGGATTCGAACTCAGTCATCTGGTCCCAATTCCAACCCTCAACCAACTGAGCCACGAAGGGATGTCAGCCAGGAGGCAAAGAAATCTCTATTCATTTCAGAGTGCAAAAATTATACCTTCATGGAGTTCTCTTCAGTTCCCCCTTCCCCACAACAAAGAGCAAGCAAAGTCTACTTTTCAGGGGCACATCCCAAAGGAAAATAACAGTCTGTGCAATTTCCACACACACCCACACACGCACCCCTCTCCCCCCACCACACACACACATACACAAACACCCCTCCCACACACACACACACAACTCTCTCACCCCCACATACACACAGATACAGATACACACACAACTCTCTCCCCCCACACACACACACTTTAATCGCACTGTATATTCGTGATATAATATAATCCTGGGAGAACGCGAGAGGAAGAGGGGAAAAAAGTAAAGATGTTTTCATGGAAATATAGCCGAGAGATTAAGCCAAAATGAGCGCGTCTGAGCTGACAAAAGGAAACTCTTCTGTCAGAGGAGAGCGCGAGGCTGATGGAGCTCGGTGATAGTATTCTTTATTGGAGACTGAGAATATTGCTGTCTTTCACGCCTGCCAACATGCATCCAATGCAAAGCAAAGATAAGCGCAAATCGTTCTCAAAGACCATAGATAATTTGTTACATCAAAGGCCTTTGAGATTACCTCCCAAGCGCCATATTGAGAGAGCAACCACCTCTTTAAGCCACTGTCTCATGCGCATGCATTGAAGGAAGAAAGAGTCTGTGCAGTACATATTGAACAGTGATGTAGCGCTGAATGTGGGACCTGATTAAATATTTCCTGACTGTTCCTGGCACATGTGTGATGTATAAGCAGCACGAAACAAGATATTTTCCCAAGTTGTTCCCGCGAGGCAGTGGCTTAATAATAATAATTATCCTCTGCATTTGATACAGAGCCTCATCATGTCGTTGAGACGTCTCAAAGCGCTTCACAGGATACACTGTAAAGTGAATTGACTGCATCTATTTTGTGGCTGAAACGCGGCAGTGAGTGAGCAATTTTTTTTTGGAGGGATTATTATTATCCCCGGAAAAGCAATCCATCAATCGACTAACAAGCAGGTTCCTACGTACTGCTAGGTAAACAGAGGAGAGTGGAGCAAGGAAACTTGCTTAAGGTTTCGCTCTGCCCTGGAATTGAACCCGGGTCCTCTCGCTTGCGAGGCGAGTGCTCTAACGAGTACGCCACAGGACTCCAGTCAATATGCTACAGGATCACAGCACATGTGCGACAAATATACAGTACAAAAGGAGGCATTTCCCCAAGTTCTTCCCGTGAGATAGTGACCATTTGGACAGAACAAAGGACCATGGTTTTGTCCAGCAATGAAAGCAAACCAGAAGCAAACAAACAAGTGACTGAAGAATCAATGGCCGGCAAAGCGAGGCGATGCCATATTTATTTCATTTTCATAATCGTTGGGACCCAAGTGTCCATCGTTCCCAGGTGAGGAAGAAGAAAAGTCAGGGGTAGTTTTCCGGAAAATGGAGCTGAGAGATGACATGATCGTTTCGGATGATAAAGCCCCTTTGAGGCAGAAGAAGGTTGTGGTTTCAATTTTCACTTGGAATCACAGAGTCTAAAGCTGGCTATTAAAACCCCTCATAATTTCGAACACATCTAACAGTCTAAGTCTAAGAAAACGGGGGATAAGTACAGAGGAGTGTGAATGAGAGCAAAGGAGGGTTGCTGAGAGCCAAACAGTGATTAGAGCAGGTTCTGACAACTCCTGAAAGTATTGTAGTGTTAAGAATATCATCTGCGGAATACAGATTAAAGGACTAGGCCGTGGTCTCTTTGAAATATATTTTTAAGTGCTCTGCGCATTTTTTTTTCTTTTCTTTTCATTTTAAATTCTATCTTTGGCAGCCGAATGTGTCTGTTTGATTTAAAACATGTGTCTGGCCAACATGTGTTTGGCTTGATAACTCAACGGGTCTTTATTGAAAAGTTGGTCAAGTATGGACAGCAGCCTTGATTATTAGAGTCATGTTCAGGAGACTTAACAGCCCGTTAAACCATCTTCATCACATCTGGCTCTGCATGAAAGCACGCACTGCTTAAGAGAACAGACTGTGAAATTCCTGGTTTCGTGCAGTTTTTCACCCACTGTTTATCTGGCCCCTGATTCTCTCTCCCTCTCTCACCTCCTCTCCCAGAGAGCCTGACTCAAACCCCTGGATGCAGTTCTATGGTCAGCGCCAACTCTTTGATATGTGATGTGTGTGTGTGGGTGTGTGTGTGAGTGAGAGAGAGAGAGAAAGAGAGAGTCCGAATGAAAACAAAAAACATTGGAACTAATAATCCTTGCATTCGATGCAGCACCTTATCACGTTGTCAAAACGTCTCAAAGGGACATACTGTAAGGTGTTGTGATGATCTGTATTCCGTGGGTGAGCGCCTCAGCCGATTTGCGCACAGCCCATTTGTCCCACAAACAGTCACGGAGTGAGTGGCGAATTTTATTCGGGGTCTCGCTGGCCAGGACACCGAGAGAGAGAGAGAGAGAGAGAGAGAAACCCCCTTCTCTTTTCGAACAGAGCCACGGGATCTTTAACGTCGACCTGAACAGGCAGACGGGACCTCGGTTTAAACGTCTCATCCGAAGGACGGCACCTCCGAAAATTTAGCACACCCCCAGCGCTGCATTGGGGGTGACAACTTAAGATGGTGTGATTCCGAGTCCCAACGGGGGGCTTGAACCCACAACCTTCCTACTCAGTGTACGTACATCGCTGCTTGAAATGTATTGTTGC